TATATATATATATATATATATATATATATATATATATATATATATATATATATATATATATATATATATATATATTATATATAAATATATATATATATATATATATATATTATATAAATTATATATATATATATATATATATATATAATATATATATATATATATATATACAGTAAAGACATAGACAATTGTATCTTAAATTATTGAACAAAACTGAGTGTTAAAAGAGTAGTTACAAATTTAGAATGAAATCTTACATTCAGTCCATTGTTGTAAGAGTAATTGTTCGAGCTCAATAGATGAATTTGAGAAAATTTGAAGACAGAGTTGTTGCAAGATGTTTTATTTTCGTTTTAAATGTAAGCCTCATATATTATATTATTCAACGGACATTTGAATGCTGATTATTTAATCAGAGTCCTATTTGGGAGTGAGAAATTTACTTAAATACCAGTTATACTTGTTCAAGACTCAACAATTAATAAACATTTAATCTAATTTCAATTTCACATTTCAGATGACATACTTTGGTAAGTTTGATCGCATTTCTATTAACAAATCTATTTCAAATTAATTCATTCACCGATACTAAACTTTCATGTTTATTTTGACGGTCTTCTGGTAAGTTTGTCTTTGTGTCCCTCCTCGTTGGCTGTTAAAGGCTTTTAAGTCGAAACGTCTTTTGTTGTAGTTTTGTGATCTCTCAGGTTCTTCCCTACTCTGTATGTTATATTTCATATAAAATATTTAAAAAATAGTTGGAATTGAAAAATTAGCGTTTTACACACGCAAGCTACCTTACTGTGACTTATACACATTTTTATGCATAAACAATTTGTTTTAGACCAATTTTTCTAAATAATTTAAAAAAAACATACATTGAAGAACAGTCAGCTTCTTGGAATATCTGTGGTCGACCGTTCCAAGAATCGCAGCTATAGAGTAGTGAAGGGAGTCAGACTGTCTTGAGGACTTTAAACTTGTCTATCAGCCGATCAGTCTAGGCACGGATTGGAAAGTCTAACAAAGAACGTGCTAAATCTGGCATTGCTGACGTTAATACAATAGTCAATGGAAGCTGGTGTTTTGTGACTGTGTAATGCGAGTTTGATGAAGCTGTTGACGACGTACAATTGCCGACCATAGAAAATGAGCGTGGCATTGGGCTACCCCAGGAGCATCCTGGTGGGTAGCTTTTCAACAACCTTTCCACCAAAGACATTTTCCAACATAGATTCCAACATATTGCTCCTAGCATTGCTCTTGCAGTGGTGAACACTGGCATTGCTCTTGCAGTGGTGAACACTGGCATTGCTCTTGCAGTGGTGAACACTAGCATTGGGATAGTCAAACTGTGACTAGAACTTAGGAACCTCGATCAGTTAGTGGTTGGGGGGGGGGGGCTTTGTTTTGACAAATTAATGGGATTTTCAGGACGATATCAAATTGTTAAGCGTTCTATACACTGTCCACAATCAGAGATGTGTTCAATAACTATAATACTTTTTCTAAAACTATAACACTCTTTCTATAACAATCTTTCTGTAACTATAACTCTTACTATAACTATAATACTCTTTCTGTAACTTTAACAGTTTTTATATAACTATAACTCTTACTATAACTATAATACTCTTTCTGTAACTTTAACAGTTTTTATATAACTATAATACTCTTTTTATAACTATAATACTACTTCCAACAATCAGATCATATTGTTTAGATAGCTAGCGAGACTTGCAAACTCATTACATTTCCATAGCACGGAGACAGCTCTCTTGAGAGTCAGTAATGACCTCTTCCACGCAATGTCTCCATTTTGATCCTCTTAGACCTCAGTGCGGCCTTTGACACTGTTGACCATGAAATCCTTTTCAAAACCCTTGAAAACTACTTTGGAATTTCTGGTTCGGTTTTGGCTTGGTTTAGGTCCTACCTCTCTGATAGAACGCAAATGGTCTCTGTCGATGGCTGTCTCTCCGGCAGTGCTGATTTGGTGTACGGAGTGCCACAGGGGTCCGTTTTGGGTCCGGTTCTATTCATAATGTATACCAGACCACTACTCCTCTTGCTCGGGAGGCATGCTGTTGAGAACCAGTCATTTGCAGATGATACACAGCTATACATGCATACCCATCCATCTCTTGTCGATTCCGCTGTCCAGACTTTGCGGGGGTGCATTGATGATGTCAAGTCTTGGATGACACTCAGCAAGTTGAAGCTTAATGATGACAAAACAGAAGCACTCCTCATTTACAATCACAAATCATCCTCTACCTCAACTCTTCCCACCTCATTTCAAGTAGGTAACTCCGACATACAGTTTACACCCTCTGCTAGGAATCTTGGTTATATTCTTTCTAACAACATGTCTCTCGATAAACATATCTCTCACATTTGTCGTTCGGCATACACCGCCATCCGTCAGATCAGCTCCATCCGCCACTACCTGACAGTTAGCGCAACAAAAACTCTAGTCTGTGCTCTTGTTCTCTCTCGTCTTGACTATTGCAACTCACTTCTGTCAGGTTCACCGAAACATTTTATAGAAAAACTGCAGAAAGTTCAAAACTCTGCTGCTAGGCTTGTTCTTAAGGCAAAAAAACGCGATCACGTCACTCCACTACTCCACTCACTACATTGGCTCCCTATACAGGCACGCATTGACTACAAGCTGTCTCTGCTCTGTCACAACTTTTTCTCGGATTCCTGCCCATCCTATCTAACTGAACTTCTTTCTGTCTATTCACCCCTTCGACAACTTCGCTCCTCCGCAGACTCGCGTATTCTGTCCGTTCACAAGACACGCACTAAATTATATGGTGAACGATCTTTCTCTTTCTGCGCCCCCAAACAATGGAATTCTTTGCCACTACACATCCGCAATATAACAACCACACAGGCCTTCAAAACTGCACTCAAAACACATCTATTTAAACTCTACTACTCTGACTGATTCTCCTCCTATAAACCGATAAACGTACATGGGTTTCCTTGTAAAAATGTCTGGTGTGGGTGGGTGAATATACCTCTGGTGTTGTTTTGCTTATATGTTGTTTTTATTTCACTTATGTATTTAATTTTAATATTATGATTATGCCTCTTTGCTATATTTATGTACAGCGCGGTGAGCCCAGCCCTAGGCTGGGGTACCGCGCTATATAAGACCATTTATTATTATTATTATTAAAATATATCTATGAATAAAAAGAAATTATATGGTATTTGATTAAAAAATAAATTATAGTCACTAGAAGAAATAAAATCACATTTCTAAAGATAAATATTTCAAAATTTGTCCTAACTATTGTTATCTTTTATAGAGGCAGAAGCAGATGATATTCTTATATCCGTGCTTTATCCTGGTCAAAGAGAGAAGGTGGATACA